TGAGTTGAGTTAGGTTGTGAGGGATTTTGGGGGTTTTTGTGAGCGGGCTGCTTTCGGGCCAAGTTTGGTGCGACGGTAGGTGGTGTTACCCTGGGTTTACAGTGTCGGAGTCAATTGAGGCCAAGGGTCCATTGATCGGTTCTTTGTCGGCTATTCGGTGACTCATTTTGTGGGCTTGACGAAAGGGGACTGAGCCTGTTCGTTCTAAACCCACCATCGTGGAATCGGTGATATTCGGGCTCCCGTGCGAGCACTACGAGAAGGGTGTAGTCGTTCCATTTATGCATTATTTATTTTCAACGTTTTCAGTTTGTTTATGCTCTTTGATTGCTAAAATTTATCCGTTTATTGTCAATTTTCGGTTTCAGCCTGAGACGGACAAACCGGGACTTGTTCGGGCTCAAAAGGTTGCTGTTTGGGGCCAACACGAAGCAGTCCGGGTCCTATCGGGGCTGTCCGAGACTTGCTGGGATCTGTCCGGACCTGCTGGGAGCTGCTGGGATGAACCAACGGCTGTTCGGGACTGTTTGGAGCCAGCCCGGGCCCGGCTAGTCGAGCCAGACGACCACCCGACAGTTTCTTGCGGTCTCAGCTAGGAATCTTCCGAGGTTCAGTGGTTGCTTCAAGTTGCCGAGCCCTGGTTTTCTCGTCTGTTTTTTGCTTTTGTTGTTTTTTTCTGTTTTTTGGTTTGTAGACTTGTTGTTTACTCAGTTCTTTGGGAAGGTGTTCTCGTGTTACTTGGCTAATTGCTATAGTCAAGGTCTGCGCCTGTTGGTGTGCCTGTTATGTAATATTTGTGCCTACTCTCATTTAATATTAAAATTCTAGTTTCGTTAAAAAAAATAATAATAAAAAAAAAAGATTCTCTATAATTAATAGCTGAAGACGCTCATATAAAAAAGGCTTTTGTAGAGCCTTCTGAATTTGTTAATTTAAAATGAATCAAACCTACAAATATTTAATTTTGCTCCATCAGGATTCCAATCATTTAATTCCCTACTAATCTATTTCCACAGATATTGCACATTAATCTAGATCAATTAAAGTTGGATTATTTTTAACGACAAGCATGATATGGGTAATTGGGTATATATCTTTGTCACTTAGACTAGTGATGAATCAAGTAGACTAAAAAGCAAGTGTAAAAATGATATAAAGACGTGAATGACTAACACAGTATCATAATTAATTACGCATCATATGCGTATCCTTAGCAGAATCATTTTTAAAACTATATAATCCTGACATAAAATGAGATGTTAAAAGCGAAATTGGCCCATGGTATACTGTCATGTTTGATAGATTTGACTTATGAATCTGTGGCTAGCTAATTATGATTATAATGTAAAGTTTGTTCACGATTTTTGTTGAAATTTTCTTGACTATTGATTTTGACAATCGATCATCTACACTAAAATGAGTTGTATTATATTATTTACATGCTACAGAATTTGTGGCAATTAGCAATTCTGAAAAATTTAGCGTGGACTAATCATATTATTTTAATAAAAATATATGTTTCGTATTTGTTAGAATATCACTTGTGAGTTGTCCCACATCGTTCATATATGGAAAATAGACTCACCTTATAAGACTAATGGGCTACTCCTCCTTCCATCAATTTGTTTTGGGATGGAACCCCATTTGGGCTTCATATGAGCTTTTCCTTCTTTCATGGTGTCCTTCATGGTAATGGGTCAGCACCCATTTCCCCCAGTTTCTGTCATGGTATCAGAGTCGGTTCATTCCCCCAGTTTCTGTCATGGTATCAGAGTCGGTTCATTCCCCCAGTTTCTGTCATGGTATCAGAGTCGGTTCTATCTTGGACCGTTCATTCCCCCAGTTTCTGTCATGGTATCAGAGTCGGTTCTATCTTGTACCGTGTGATGACGTACTCATTGTTTATCCCCCATGTATCCGTTTTTTCTGTCATGGTATCAGAGTCGGTTCTATCTTGGACCGTGTGATGACGTACTCATTGTTTATCCCCCATGTATCCGTTTATGGGAGCCTGTTTGTAGTAGGGCTTGGGGCACCCAGCCCAGTTGGGCTTGGGCTTTCGAAGAACTCACAAGTGAGGGAGTGTGTTAGGGGCACCCAGCCCAGTTAGGCTTGGGCTTTCGAAGGACTCACAAGTGAGGGGGTGTGTTAGAATATTCATATATGGAAAATAGACACACCTTATAAGACTAATGGGCTACTTCTCCTTCCACCAATGGGATGGAACCCCATTTGGACTTCGTATAGGCTTTTCCCTTCTTTCATGGTGTCCTTCATGGTAGTGGACCAGCACTCATTTCTCCCAGTTTCTGTCAGTATTTTTGTTTAATTAGTCGTAGAATAACATACTAAAAAAAATGATAAACTTATATGTTAGATTAAACTCCTACTTATGTATTACTAACATATAAGATTTCATGAGAGAATGTACGTAACACCTCCAATTAATGATTTCCCATTCCATTTTTTTGTTCATTTTATGTTTGACTAATGTATAGTGCTAAAGCTAACTGGATTGTGATCATCATGTACACAGTGGTATGAAACATTATATGATATGATGAAATTAAATGCAACATGATAACAAATTAAATTGGCACGTGCAAGAGTAAAAAAAAAAAACTCGACAAAAATTATTAATAAGTAAAATAAGAAGTTATTTTATACTAAACATATAGCTAAATTAGATGACAAGTCACAATTATACACACAAGAATCTTAATTTAATAAATAAAATCTTTACTGGATTAAAGAGCATACCGGTCCGCAAAATCGTATAGTTTATTTTAGGGGTGTTCACGGTCCGGTTTTAACCGGAAAAAACCGTCAATTCGGACCGCGGATCGATTAATGGTCAGTTAAAAAAGCCTTAAAAAATCCGGTGGTTAATTTTTTTAAAAATCCGGAATAACCGGTCCGGTTAACGGATTACCTGCGGCAAACCGCCACTTTGAATCTGTGATTTCAATGAATTCAATAACATCTACAACAATGATATCGTCCTATATGTAAAACTTCATAATAAGAAAATTATATTCTAATACCAAATCATGACACTACATTTTCTAATATACGTGGATTTTACAAACCTAATTAAGGGGAAGGTTATTATTATTATTATTATTATTATTATTATTGTTATTATTATAATCATCACTACATATGAGAATTTTTCAGTAACTCACATTTACAACCATGACTGATTATTATTGTTTAATTAAATTAAAATCAATTTTTTTTTTGGTTGGTCCTTATTCAATCAACTTTCACAACTCACTATAATTTATCTTTAAAGCAAATGGCATCATTAAAAGTTCAAAATTAATTTAGGGATTACATAAAGTATTTAGTTAATTAATTGATAGGCTATAAGCCACAGGAGTACGAGTGTACGACACAGTGCAGCTTCAGTCTTGCCCGCTTGCACTCCAACTTGCATTAAGGTGATTTTTTATGAATTCAATTAGTTTTTAATTAATTTTTTTAATTATAGTTAATTTTAAAAAAAAATATGGTATAGTTAGTTGTTAGTGGATATATTAAAATAATATATAAAATAAAATAATTAAAGTTGTTATGATATAAAAGTAGGAGAAAAATGATTGCGAGTGATAGTTAGTTAAAATTATGTGAGTGAATGAATAATGAATTAAAGTTGATGTGATGTGTAAGAATAATTGTTGAATGATTGGTTGGTATTATTTATTTATATTGATAATAATGGAGATAGTAAGATTGAGTTAAAGTTGAGTTAAATTTAAATTTTGATTGATTTTTTTGAATTGGATTGATAAACAATTACACCCTAAGGGCTTGATTGTTTATGAAATAATTTGTTCAAAATAAGTTATTTTGGTTAACTATATTTAATTTTGAAAAAAAGTAGTATGATTATTAGTTGTTAGTGGAATTTTAAGAATGTATTAAAATAATATTTAAAATAAAATATTAAAATTAATGTGATGTAAAAGTTGGAGATAAATGATTGGAAATAATTGAAAATGATAGGTAGTTAAAATTATGTGAGTGGATGAATAGTGAATTAAAGTTGATGTGATGTGTAAGAAAGATTGAGTTTGTATTATTTAAATATGAATAATTTAAAAAATAGTGAGATTGAGTTAAAGTTGAATTAGATTTTGAGATGAATAAATGTGAGTAAATTATTTCTTAAACGATCAAGCTTTAAAGTTTGAACCAATCTTATTAAATATTAGTTATATTCTAGTCCTTGCATTTATATTTAATTAATATTTTCAAATTGAATATAATTATTTCCTTCAATTTAAAGGCATAAGTGCATAACCCTAACGAGCCAACCTAATTGAAAATTTTAACAAGTTGCACGTGTAGAAAGTAGAAACCACATTTATTATTAGACTATAAGTTTGAAAAAAAAAAAAATTGCAACTTGCAAACTTTCATGTGGAATTTTCTTTTTCATTTTTTCCCTTTCCCAACAGCTAGCAACTTGGTCTCATCAAATTGGCCAAGTTGCACACACAGCTAGCTGTATGATTCCATTCACTTCAATTCATGTCTATTAATTTTCTAGTTTTCCTTATTGTAATTTATTTTATTTATTTCAATAGGTAATAATAAATTAAATAAGGCAATGCATATATGGTGCTGATGGTACATCCCCCACATTACCTCACACTTGTGGAATTTTTATGTTGTTTTAACAATGATCCAATATTGACTTGGTCTTAATAAAAAGATGATAACAAAATTGTCCATTTCTGTTATAATTCAAAGTTCAAATATACATTTGACCTAAAATTCAGAGGAGATAATAATTTATTTCAAATTTTAACATTTAGGTTTACAACTTTACATATCTTTTTGCTAGTTTAAAAATTCAAATTTAGTGGAATAATTAAGTTGCTAGTTTATTAATTTGATTTCCTATTATTATCCAGTTCCCCACATTCAAGTCCCACTCGAAACTATCCAAATTAACTCATGTTATTAATTTACTTCTCAAGCTAAGTAAACAAATGGATTTACAGATTAAGGCAATGGCACATCAAGCTATGATTATTTTATTAATGGACTCAGGCAACATGAAGGGTACTGATTGATGATCATTGATACATATACTACTGTTAATTATTAAATAATTAATCACTTGCATAAATTAAGGCTGTAGTATGCTCATATATATTATTAACACTTTATATATATATTGTAACAATTTGATCACACTTTTGCAATCAATATGGAAAATGTGGATCGATCAATCAACTTTTCCGAACATTCGACCTGTTGTGTTGGATCAACATACATATATTACAGTTTGGGTTGATTTTAATCGACAGAAAGAAAAATCGGAAAATAACTGACAATCAAATTACCAATGGAATATTGTATAAGGATATCAGTGTATCTTTAATGTCTTATGATCAAACAACAAGCTAAAAAACGAAAAAAAGGAAAACATGAAACCATAATTAGCTCCCAAACGAACAATCAAAGAAAAAAAAAATGATTTACACGACGATATTAATTTTCTCCTTTTTTTCTAATATTTGATGAAATTAAGAATTATTGTGAGGCGGTGGTAGCTAAGGAGTGAAGGTTACAGCTGACGATTGTGTTGACGAAGACACAGGTTTCCTCCGTCGTGTTGCCCTCCGGCACGTCCACCACGTACGACTCCACGGCCACGGTGCCGCCGCCCTCCGCCGCGTGGAGGGTGGTGACGGACCGGTAGTTGGCCAGGCGGTGGTCACCGCCGACGATCCTGAACCCGATGACGTGGCGCTCGTCGTCAAGGATCTCGAGCCGCTCCGTGCTCCAGCCGGCGGGGAGGCCGGAGACCACGCGGACCTCGCGAAGGGTACCCACGTCGCCGTCGCCGAGGACCACGTGGCAGCTCTTCACGAAGTGCTTGTAGGCCTGCGGATTGTCGAACCGCCGGAGGACGGACCAGACGGCGGCCACGGAGGCGGAGATCCGCTGTGTGACGGCGGAGCAGCACTGATCGGGGCCGACGGCGTGGTTGTGGTAGCGGGCCACGTGGTCCGGGACCTCCGCGGCGGGGCTGCGGTGGGGTTTCTTGCCGGCGGCGGCCGGGGTGGGGATCTCGCTCATTCTTTGGAGGAGAAGGGAGGATTTTGGTAGATCTGAAGGC